TAGCAAATTCGTGGGAGGTATTACTGCTACGTTGGTCTTACCGTTCCCTTTGTTGTAAAATTAACGCATTCCACGACACATTAACCACAAGTTGATTAACTGTTCCTAGCGAGGTTCATTGAGAATTTGTTGCCCAGCGCTGGCAAAATCACTGCCGAGTTAAATAAATAAATCAATAAATCAATAAATAAAATGTTTATTCTGGACTAAGCGAGGCACGTCTGCACAGACATGATCATGTTAAGAGTACAAACTGTGATAAGTCAATGTACAATGGATCAATGAGATTGTCGCATAGGTTGATATATAAATGTAAGTAAGTGTGTATGTGGGCGTGTTTAGCCGTGTTTATGGAGTTCGTAAATGTATTCCAGTCTTTTTGATCGTGCTTGCACGTGTGGCCAGTGTGAAATGGGTGCTTGATGGCTGTGGACTTGAAGCGGTCGTCCGGATAAGCAATGGGTGACTTTAGTTGGTGGCGAGTCACAATCGCCACGTCACAGTGTTGTTAAGCGGACATTTGTGGCTTTTTATAAGGAGAACGCTTGCCAGGCGGAAACCCACCACGTCCTGGAACACTGCCGCCGAACTATTTGCTGGAAGGGGTAAACCCAATCCACCCAGCTGGCACCACGAGGAGGTTGTTCGGCCAGCCAGCCACATAGCTGACTTTTGGCCTGGGTAACCACAGTCTGTGTGGCTGTCGTTTAGAGAAGATTTTCGCCAACTTAATTGCCGTTGCAACTCACCAAGAGGAAGTTATCTTTTCAGTTTGCATATAGTAGATATGTGGCACTTTCTTCCCCATCGCCACCCGGGTGTCTACATACCCAGCATTGGGTGGCTATTAGTAAGCAAGGGGAAGCACACATTAGCCTTTTACTTATTGTTTGCGGACTGCCCTCATGATGGATGTAATTTGCATCAAGCTTTTCATAAGAAATGGGTATTCCATTACCCTGGCGGGTTTGGTGCATTTGCGACATTTCTGAAACCAACCATTACTGCGTTCGGAAACCCCTGCTGTTGTTCCACAAGCGTAGGCTTTAGCACTGCCAACGGAACCTAAGCCTGGATTGCTGGTCCAGAGCCAACTTGCAGCACTTTACTGATTTTGGCACGAATTGCCTTTCAACCCACCTACTGTGGTTTGTGTTCCGTGGAATCAGACGTTTTGTAACAAGCTTGGACTATTTAGTAACACTTGCCGGCAGGCAAAACATTTGACCTCAATCCGTTGGGCCGTACAGTAATGAGCTTGGCGAGGATATGCGGATGTAACTTGCTGCATCGCTGGTTGTGCTCACCGGCACCTTTGCCACTTGTAAACTCCCAAACACCTAACAAACTGGTTGCTGATACACGGTTATCCTTCCTCAATGTACCAGTTACTCAGCCGTTTTTTAAATAACTTCCTTAAACTAATCCCCATCTTGCTGTTCGTGAATGCGGTCTCATATGACCGGTCTGTTTCACTTAGCGACTCTAGAACTTTTCCCTTTTCCTAGCCTTTGGTTTCTTTTTTAAATTTCACCACACGCCCAACCCACTCAGGGCTGTAGCTCAACGCATGATTGCTTCACGTTTGTCCGTCTCTGAAGCTTGGCAGTCTCTCTCCTATCTTACCATGTTGAAGGTCCCTGTATGAGCACATTCCTCCTCCTTTTAGCCTCACGTGTCTTAGCAGCACGCCACCCAGTTCTTACTCGGGTGGTTTTGGTTTCATCATCTCAGGGATATTGTTTCCATTACTAATCACGTTTCCACCCCGCCCATGTTTCTGTAATGCCCCATGTGCTCCACTTGCATTACATTTTGGACGTCACAGCATAAACTTGCGTCTTCCCTTATCAATTTGGCTTTATCCTGGCTAAGGACCCCAAAGCATACCATAGCTTTGGACTCCTGTGTCCCGTCACGCTCAAATCTGGCGGATTTCTGGTTATTTATGTATTGACCCTTTAGCGTCATCTGTGCCATCGCCAACTCACTGCACCTTTGTTAGTATGCACCCGCTCTTCGCTGATTCGCTGCATTTGCCTCCCTGTTTTGTTCGCTGCAGTATGAACTGCCATATCTTTGTTCCGCATTGTAATCCTGTGGGCTTCAAATTTGCCTAAGCTAATACTCGTTTTTTGACGGATTGCATTAGGGCTGCTTGGAAGTTGTATTCACTATTGTATGTTTGTGGCTTTCCAATACCCGTAATTTTAAATAGAAAATGAATACCATGTTTCTTTCCGACTAAGCTGGGCGCGCCTGCACAGGCATACTCATATTAAGCGTACAAAATGTGATCAGTCAATGTACGAGAGAACGGTGGGATGGTCGCATATGTTGCTATATTAACGAAGGTGCATGTGCAACTAAGCGTGTTTAGCTACTTTTATGAGATTTGTCGACGCTCTTCGGTCAGTGTTCTTACGGTTGAAAGTGTTGATAGCATTATATAGAGGTTTGTGGGCTTAAAACGGTTGGCTGGACAAGAAATGTACGACTAGTTGGTTGCGTGTCACAACCGTTACTTTACAATGGTGTTAAACAGACTTTCGGGGCATGTTATAGGGGGAACGCTTGCCAGGCGGAATCCCACCAGGTTCATGAACACAGCCGCCGAAACTATTTGCTGAAAAGGGACAAACCCGAACTACACAGCTGGTACCACGTAGAGATTTTTTGGCTAGCCGTGCACCTAGTAAACACGTTTACCCCCTTCGGACCATGCACGCTGCAGAACCTTCTTTGTAGGCTGCAGTGGTAGTCTGAGCCGCACTTGAGATGTACGTAGGAGAAGACCTATAAGTTGTATATATCGAACGAAAATACATAGTACCACAGAACTAGGTACCATTGCACGCAAGTAGTTATTTTATGGTAATTATCGATGTATTCATGTCTGTATCTTTGCACCTTTCTAGCTGCGTTTTCCACATATGCGGCAGCAAGCGCATGTCGTTTTAATCAGCTAGGCCTGGTTGATCCATCTTCAACAACCAGGTGGGCTAAAACCATTGGCTTCTGCTCCGTTACCTCAACAGGCAATCATCACACCGACAATTCCAAGTACCTCCCAGGTGGATCATTCTCTTGGCATGGGATCTAAACAAATGGGTTAAGCTTGTCTCGCTATCATCTTTTCACAACCTAGTCACTGGCATTAGGTCAGCACATGGATCAATTGTTCTACTATGGAGGACGAAATCGTCTATCACAATGACTTCACCCTAACATGAACAGCTATGCTACCTGTCCCAGGTGTTCCAACAAATGGGTTTGGCGCATTAAAATTCTGCAAGTAACCCTGTGCTTTTCTGATAGCATACAGTAGAGTCATTAATGGACATGAAGACCATTTATTTTGACAATGACTTACCTGCCGTGTTGCCCTCCGAGAAGCAAGAAGACTGGGCCGTGTTCAAGAAGTCATTTTTTAAGTTTACACTCGAATATTCATAGAATAAAGACACTATTTACAACAGTCTGTTGCAAGGGTTCATACCTGTTATTTGCATTGTGTCGCTGGCTCTCTTTCCATTGGTTTTTGCTTGCTCGCCACGTTCACTCAGTCTAAAATCCCCTTGAGTTCTTACTGGATATCCGATTGGCCGGATTGGCACGCGCGCTACTTCCCTTTGTCCAAATGTCATAAGCCTTGGCTTACGGATGCACGAGTATGCACTCCTTCGCCTGCTGGCGCCTGCTTGGCCACTTGCAGATTCAGGGAACGTTTGCAGGCTGGACTAGATAACGGGCCAACTATTTCCTGTTTCGCTTACCAATCTGCTTCCGGCAAGGTGCCTACTCTTTATCGGTCTTTCCTGTGACGTTCGATCAGCATACAGCATTTCCAATCCCAGCATTTCCGGCACCCATCACATCCTTCCCTTTTACTTGTTTTAGGATGGCGTTACAATACTCTCCGTATGGTCTCCCACTTCGTGAGCGTTTAATGTCCTGGGCTTGGGTAGCAGTATTCTTCGCTTGTTGTTGCTGACCCTCTCTCTGCGGCGTCCACCTCTGACGCACTCACGGCAGTTGCACCCGATTCCGTCGAATGACATTGCCCCTAACCTTGACACCATGGATCCGCTCTCCCTTCCGGCCTTCGAGCCCTCCTTACGGCCAGCATCCACTGGCTTCCGGTAATGGCTGCACACCTACCATTTCTCCTGTACCTAGTGGTGGGAGGCTTTTCGATTCCCGATCATAGTACCTTTTCTGCCTTAGCATTATCTTCCGTAGGCGGTCGTGCAGTACCTCGGACGGCGCTATTTTAAGCTAAAGTAGTTGTAGCGGTCCGTATTAGCGTTCTTATTCGGCGACTGTTTAGACGCTCTGCAGGACTCGCTGCGATATCTGTAGATGTTGTATTCCTTCCATCCAGTAGCATTGTGTACGGACCTTGCTGGGTATCCTTGGCTTTTACAAGCACTTGCTTCGCCTCCTTCACTGCGGACTCAGCCTAGCCGTTGGATCAACTATAGTGGTGGGCTAGTTAGCCGGTGTCGAAAAGCCGACTTTTGCTGAGTGCACGAAATTTTGCACTATTGAATTTCAGCCAATTTTCCGGAACCTCCACGGGTATTCCATGCCGAGCGAATTAGCACCGCAACTTGTTCACCATGGGGTGCGTATTAGTCGTCGTAAAAGCATCGATCTCGAAGTAGTCGCTAAAATAAACTACCACAGTCCAATAGCTCCTATCATCGTGAGAAAAAATTAATACAACCATCTGCCGGGGTCTGTCAAGAAAGTCAAGTAGCATTCTCGGTTCTGTTGGCTGACGAACATCGTGTGGTCTGTACGATACACAATTGGAGGCGTAGTCACGTATTTGGCTGGTAATTCCGGACAAAAACAACAGCCCTCTAGCTCTTGCCACGCAGTTGTTGGTCTCTAAATGTGCACATTGTATCAGCTCCAGCAGCGAACGCTGCAGTGCTTTTTGGACCACTATCCCCTTACCTGGGCATATTAATCCTTCCTGAGTAATGAGTTCGTCACGAAAATGGAGGAATGGAGGCAGCTCTTTTGATAACTTTTTGGTCTTCGGGCCATACGTTCATGGTCATGTGCTTCAGTAGCCTACCCAATTCACCTACCTCATTGTATCGTTGGAGCTGATGCAAGCGTTCCTCAACGACGACGATCAGCAGTGTTGCATAGGCAAAATCTGGGTCTTCTTCCGTTCCTGGCTGGTCTGCCACGTGCGCTCTTGACGGCGAGTCCGCAATGTGCATCTGGGATCCTGGCCAGTAGACAAAATCGAGATCATCCTTCTTCAGATGAATAAGCTTCATTTGCAGGCGGCGTGGGACAAAATGGAGCGGCTCGCTGGCGATCGACACTAGGGGATGGTGGTAGGTAAAGGCGGTGGATTTGCGGCCCAATGCATAGTAACTGAAACGCTCCACAGCGTAAACCAATGCAAGCATTACTTTCTCTATTTGCGCGTAACGAAGCTCGGCCACTGTCAGCGTTCTGCTGTGAAAGTTAATAGGCTTATCGTTCTGCATGAGTAGGGCACCGATACCGCAGTGGCTGCTGGCACACTGGATCTCGAGCGGGACGGCTGGGTTATACTACACAAGAACAGTGGTGCTGGTCAGCAATGCCTTTATTTTCTGAAATGCGCCCTGCTGCGCCACGTCCCAGTGCCACTTCTCACTATTACGCGTCAGGTTTGGGATCGGTACCATTGCATTGGCTAATCTGGGCAAGAAATGACTTGGGTAATTCGCCATCCCATTCAGCCTGCTGACGGCTTTCACGTCAGTAGTAGGAGGCATCTGGTTGATGGTCCTGACTTTCACTGAGTCTGGTTTCATTCCTTCGGAGCTTAGCTCTTGCCCATGAAACACCACTTACCTCCTGCGCAACTCGATCTTCTCTCCTTTTAGCTTGATGTTCCTTTCCAACCAGCGCTGCAAAATTTAGTGAAGCCTGTGGTCTTGCTCTGCCCGCGTTGCGCCAAAAACCAGCGCGTCGTCGGCTACCCATCCCGTTCTAGGTAAATCGTATAAAGCCTGCACCAGTCGTTTTTGGAATACCTCGCTACGTGGCTTCAGTCCAAGCGGTAAGCGAAGCCAGCGGAAACGCCTGAAAGGTGTCCCAGACTTGGTCAGGTAGCTTGACTTTACCTTATGTAAAACGCGCAAAATCGCAGTAGCAAAGTTGACTTCAGTGAATATACTAACTCTGAAGAGCACCGGAAGTACATCGTCTAGCCTCGGGAAAGCATAGTGTTCCCTCCTGTGTGCGGCTTTAGGTGGCTTTGTAGCATTATCCATGCGTAGTTCTTAAGCTTGTTTAATAATGATCGCCACCACGACATCCAAGCCTGTCGGCTCCTCATCTTTGATTGTAACTCCCAAACTAACAATGCGCTGCAGCTCATTTAAACATTTCTCACATAAGGCAATGGGCACTTTATGATCGGCAATCTTACCGACTTAGCGGATGCGATTAAAGGTAAATGAGCCCAACCTTCGAATCTCTCTACGACCCCGTCAACCACGCTTGGGTAGCTGTCAACAATAGCTACGTTATCTTTACATGAATGAACGAAAACTTCATGGTTAAAGGAGCCAAAACCGAAACTCCGAGTAGAATCAATACCCATAACCGGCTTACGGTCTCCTAAGACTATCATGAAAGCGAGTCGGTTTTTGGTGCCGTTTTCCGGGTTGCTGGCCTTCAAAGTGGCGATACCTTACGGCAGTAGCTTTGAACCATTCCTCATTCTGAGGCCATGTTATGTCCTGTCACATGTCCTTCCCACACAGTTCTTATCAGGTAGGATGTTGGCAGTAGCCTCTGAGTCCAGATGGAAGCGCACCTGTCTTCCACGAAGCAAAGTGTCGCGAGAACACTCTTGCTTTATCCTCCATTTTTCAAGTTGCGTATCGAAAATTTGCGTAGCCGTTCGCTGATACTCCCGACTGCTGGGCTGGTCTTAACGGATGGGCAACCGCGAGCAAACTGGTTGTTTGGAACCTTTTGTTCCGGCTCCACCACAAGTTAGACAGCTCTCCCATCTTCTTGGATGTGCACGACCGCTAAACTGATAACCTGGACCCTGTCCTTCGGGTGTATGGGGCGGACAATTGCTGGTTAAGGGTACGGCGTACGGATCGGTGTTCTTTTGGCTCTAACATGCTCGAACAGCTGCGCCGTCCTTGCTTCACTCAAGCGGTCGTCCACACATTGTTCCAAAGACGGGTTCCTTTGTCTCAGAAGGCGCCGAAGTAGCTCATGGTTCTTTACGTCTGTGACAATACGAGCACGTGTCAAGGAGTCTCGCATGCAAATGCAGAAGTTGCGGTTAGGCGCCAACGGTTACAGTTCTGTTATGTACGTCTCGAAAGATTCACTTGTCGATCGATCGTGAACAAAAACAAATACCTCCGATACGTTTCATTTACCTGTCGTTCGCAAGCCACCCCATTCATCTCAGCCGTTCCGAAAGTTCGACTTCTTCACCTGCCTCACCGAACTTCAATGTTTCGAGCACATGCCTGGCTTCATCACCCACAGCGTGACCAAACATCGCCAACTGGTAAGCAATTGGTTGCTTTTCCAGCTGGGTCAGGGCGACGAAATCCCTTCACTACGCCGTAAACCTTCTGTAGTTCTTTGGCGGCATGCTTTCAATTACTTGCATAGCGGTCGGCAGTGTGTTCGAAGGCTTCCCCCAAAATCGAGCTGGTTCCGGCGCGTCGGCTTCTTCTCCTCTCTTGCTAATTCCTGTATCCCTCAGGGAAGCAAGAAGACTGGGCAGCGCTGACGAAGACGTTTATTAAGGGTACACAAGAATATTTATAGAGTAAATACACTAGTGACAACAGTCCGTTTCATTGGCACATCGCTGTTGTGCGCATTGCGCTGCTGGCACCTTTTCCGTTTGTTTATGCTGGCTCGCCAACTGCTCTCCGTCTAAGAACACCTTGACTTGCTTAGTGGATGTAGGAGTGTCCTGATTAGCCCACACCCTACTTCCCTCAGTCCAACGCCACAAGCTTTGGTTCAAGTGTGCATCAGTATGCGCTCCTTCGCCTACCGATGCCGGTTTGTGCACTTGAACGTTCAGCGAATTGTTGTAGGCTAGAAGCGATAATGGCCAACTACTTCCTGTTTCGCTTACCAATCTGCTCCCGGCGAGGTGCTCACTCCCTATCGGTTTAGCCTCTGACCTTCGGTCGGCATTACAGTATTTCAAATCACAAGCATTTCCAGCCCCTTGATACAGACCTATTTGCTACCTATATCAAGTATTCCACCAAAAGGGTCCGGTGCATTAAGATTTTGCAAGCATAGTTTGATACTCCACACACCCCGTTCTTTTCGCCTGGCATCTACTAATGTCATTACTAGACAAGAAGAGCATGCTTTTGACAATGACTTACCTAATGAGGTAGTATTTTCCCTTCAGTAGACAAACAAATGTTTTACCAGAACTAACTCTGGGGTTTGGCATTATTACTCTTATAGTCTTACCCAAGGTCCGTAAGGTATTAATGCGAACTTCCAGTGGACCGCGCAATGGAATTAAAAAGCTCATTTCCGCTTGAGACGAGTGGGTTTAGTCATAAGGATCAACTGCACTCCCCATCTGAGAAGTACAGTATGAATACTTGGGCACGATGTCATCACGCCAGGAGCAGAATACCGCAAAAGAAAAGTCAAAGTCCATTTACTCCAAATCCGTACTAGCCTGCAGAAGCCGCCAACCGATTCTCCTGGACGTTGCATTTTTCGACCGGATTCAACAACTAATGGCGGACCCGACTAAACAATTTCATTAGTCAAATCAGAGGTTTGGAGCCCATGTGACTGCGAATAGCCGAGCGTACAGCCGGCCTTTATGGTACGTTTCCAGTCATACATTACTATACAAACGGAACGACGACAGTGTTTCAGGATGTGGTCTGGTTTCGCCCAGCAAGCGTTCTCCCAATAAAAGCCAGCTACCTCCGTTTATCAACCTCGCTATGTGGTGGCTGTTACTCGTCGTTGAATAAAGTCACTGCCCCAAATTCACACTGGCAAACTAACCATAATGACATTTTCCATCATTTCACTAGTTTTTGTTTAGGTACACAAAAAGGACACTTCGCTTTTTGGACCTCTGTCAGGGCTCTATATGTTACTCTTTTACAAATGCTTGCAACTAGGCTTTCACCAGCACTAACGACCTCGTTTTGTACCAATGCATCCGCCAGTTCAGTAACATTTTTATGTGGTGCGAACAGCACTTTTCCCACAAAGCAACGTGCCTGTTGCGAACTAATTGCGTGAAGTTGTATTCATGCCTAGTTTGGTGTGCCTCGTAGCCATAGAGAAAAATAATTATCTGGTAGTTTAAATGGGATTTGGGGCCCGCAATAACTTTGTTTACGACACAACTGAATTTTTTTCAAATACCGCGGTGAGGAGGAATGGACCGCTGGATTTATAAACCGCATACAACATTCTCTTCCTGTTTGCTATTATACCTAGTATTTACTCACGCACTTAAGGTTTTGTTTTACAGTACCTGCTTGTTATTATTCCTTAAAAAGACTCCACAAAGCGTTTACTCCTAGAAGACAAACGCAAGCCTACTTGGTACAAAGCATTTAGGTCTATGAGGGCAAAAGCAACGGCGGCTCAACTGGTAATCCATACGCAAAGCGATGATCCCTCAGAAATAGACCACACGGTCTAACCTGTATGGTTCATTTGCAAAATACGCCGCTTTGCGTGTAGTAGAGTGACGAACGATATAAATGTGTGACCGGAAGTTTACACATATGTCAAACTTACCACCAGTGTAGCATGCTAAGGCAGTTCAAAATCTACAAAGGCCGTTCATAATAAGTTGCAAAAACCACCAAGCCGCTTTGGCAATAGGCAATTCCAGACAATGCAATTTTACTGGTTAAATAACAAGCGATGCTGCTGGCAATATAGTTCGTGGCCTTAGTGAGGCACATCGACAACCGTTTCCTGTCCGGCGTACTGCAACTACTGACCCCGTCTATTTGACGAACCCAAGACGGCGGATCATTCCAGTAAGTTTTGCTACTTGCGGTTGACACAAATCGTCCAAATAACTACCATCCTAATTACGTCCCAATTGTTAGCGTCTAAATGTCTCCGCTTTGGACGCGCTTCCATGCGCATTCGTAACTCGCTAGTGCTAAGCGTCACCAATATATGCTTTTCGCTCTAGACTGTAAAAGCAGAATAAACGTAGATTCTAGGATCATTGTTTATTAACGGCACTCGACAAGACCAAATACTCGTACTGTACCTAAACAGGATGCTGATATTGCTGCTGGATGCTAACACCACTCAGATTGAAGTTATACCGTTACTGGGCGAAATATTCTTCTAAGAGCCTGTGCATTAAAGTTACTTCCATTGGCGTTCATTACGGAGAGATGAAAGTTATCACTAGTTGAGCATTCCATTACGGTTACATAAGTCTTTACAAACTCTGCGGCCTTTACTTCTGGAAAAGATGCTTATGTTA